CCATATCACAGGTGTAAACAAAAAACATCTTATAATGAGAAGTGACCAAGGGACTGTTTTGTTCAATCCTTAAAACCATTTTTGTGTGAGCTAAAGTTGAAAAGCTGTGGCGATCATTTTGAATGGGGTTGACTCCAAAAGCTTCATTCAACCTTTATTTATACAGGTTAGTCTCATGGAGTCACGAGGACTCATTTACAAGAGAGAGCTGTTTTAGACAGACAGCATATAAGGTACAGACACTAATAAACTACAGTAAAATGCAAAAAAGTAGTGTTATAAAACAATAAAATCAAGATGCCGTATAAAACAAGGTAAAATACTAAAAACAAGAACATATTTGCTTTGTTGTTTCAAATGTTTAAAATCCCCTAAATAAATTAAGGTGGACAGCTTCAGATCTTGTTGCAAGTTGTTCCAGGTTAAAGGAGCAGAGTAAGAAAAGGCCTTTTTGCCAAGTTCAATCTGCAATGAAGGTACACTTCAGGTAATGATGGCCTGAGAGTGCACGCTGTAACTGCACTGACGGCATGAAATGTGGGAGGAGATGTAAGAAAGCAGCAGACCAAGGAGTGATTTATAGATGAAAATGTACCAGTGTAAGAGCCTACATGTAGATAATGACCAACTAACCAATGAGTACAGAGTACAGTGATGGTATGGTAGTTGCAACCAGTTATGAATCTTTGCGCTTCAAGGTAGACAGCATCTGCAAGGAGATGGCAGGTGTGGGGTTCAAAAGTTCATCATAAGGTACATCCAATGATTCCTTTCTGAGAGCTTCATTAAAATTCATCTTTGGATTCATTAAATATTTCGCTAATGCTACAGACAAATGGGCACAGACATGGACATGAGCAAAAACGTTATCACCCTTTTGCTTTTGGACAGCAGGTCCTAATTAAATCACTTCAACAAAAACAATGTAAATTTGTTTATTCAGGGTTCTGTCGGTGTCTTTTGTTTTGCAAAAGGTGTAGAGAACTTTCAAAGAGGCAGCTCATTTGTCCTTCTTGGTCCAACAAACGCCCGCCATCCATCACGCTGTCTAAACATCGTCGTTTGAGCATCACGCTTCCTTCAGAATGACCTGTCAGTGTCTTGAATTTATTTGGTCTTATCTGTGGCTTACCTGTGGTGATGTGAAAACAAGGACTTAAATCTTTTTTCTCTCTCTCTCTCATCATAACAAGTTGCCATGAACCATGATGGAAAACTGACTTTAAAAAAAAAAAAACTGTGTCGATATTTGCTGGCTAGCTTGAAACTGAGAAGAAATGCCTTTTTATTTGGGACACAGTTGTGGTCTTCTGGATGAGGAACAACTAAATATAAAGTGGATGAGGGGAAAATTGTTTTTTTGAAAGAGCTTGCAGGGACTTGGAGGTAAAACAGCAACACTACATAGATTATTTTATCTTACTTTACAAGCCCCAGTATTCAAGCTTTACTCTATTAGTGCTCCCTAACTAGGTTTCACTGCCATTGAAGAGCTTTAATCTAAGGATACTGTAATATGCAATTTGCTTTTATATTAACGCCACAGACGGACTGATAACTTCATGGAGCTGCATAGATAAGTGGCGTATTGCATCTGCTATACAGATCTACCTCTCTCACTGTAATTGGACTTGATGATGAATGGCATTGTGGGTCCTAATGTGGCAGTATGGTTTCATCTTGGGCCTCTGGCTCTCACTGGCTATTATCTCCATCCCATGAGGATACATTGTGTCTGAGCCTTTGTTGGCTCTGCGCAGTGAAGTGGAGGACCTAATCTATTTATCACAGGGTCTGCGTGACCACCCAGCCAGGCTGCTATATCGGATCGTACCGGGCTCTCTTGTTCTGTTCCTCTAGGGATGGAGGAGGCACAGATGTAACTTGCAGCTTCACACCTGTCAAACAGTGCCGGTATGGGTCATCCCTGAGGAATGGAGCGCAGGAGGGAAAACATTTAAATGCATTTGTGGGATTTTTGTCTTCTGCCATAGAGGGATGTAATCCTCAGTACTGAGCACCCAGGATAAAGACACTTTTTTTTTTTTCCAAAGAAGCATTGAGAATTAGATTTGTTAAATGTCCAGGGTTTTGTAGTTTGAATTATTACCGAAGTGCTGTTAAAGCATAAATCTGTGCGTATTCACCTCTTTATTTATTTTTTATTTTTATCAAAGCATTGCATCATTCAAGCAAAGCATGTTGGGCTGTCTTTCAGTGTGGCATCAAAACTAGAAACATTTCTTCAAAGATCCTTGAAGGAGTGCATTTTGCCTGCAGCTTTTTCCGTAGAGCTTTAGACCAAGATCATTTTATGATGAGAAACGATTGGCAAACATATCTTTAAAATATATTCGTGTCTCGTATTGGAGCACACATTATATTTTGCAGTCAGTTTCACTCTAGATGAATATACGTCAAATTATGCAACAACATTAGCTCTACTGTGCTCTTGTCTGACAGGAACTTGTTATGTGGGTCTGCAAATCTGAAAGGAAATAATGTACTATAAATAATGGCAGTTCAATGTTTGTTTATGAGCCACTAAGCATCAGCAGAGGCTGGTTTGAAGCTCATTCAACAAAACCATTCAGGAATGTTATCGACGTGACTCCTAATGTTTTCTCTTGCAACAAATACAATTTAGTTTAAAACCAGTATATTGTCATGTGAAGTTGCATATTACTGTGCTTCTATCACTTGTAGAGTTGGACTCTTGCGTTTGAGTTTTCACACTAAGCAGAAGCAGTTGTTCCCACTTTATGTGCGTCTTGAACGTGTCATTCATCTCACATCGTCGGTGCTTTGCGTCTGCCCTAGAGCACTGCATCACAGTACAGTGTTTCATTTGGTGCTCATTATGCTGGCTGCATGGAGACAACCAAATATTGAGTTTTTTGCTGACGTTTCCATGGCGACACACTTCAAAATGAGAAGGGTTGAGGTGCTCGGTGTACTTTTGCCTTAAGTGACTATACAGAACTAGATGACTCTTTTCAGTCAGGAATGAGGACTGAAGCCATTTATGGAATCCACCTCCTCCAGCCTCCTCCAGCACAGTCCAGCCAGCAGTCTCATATGCTGTGAAGCACTTTTACAGCTACAACCTGAAACCGCAATAAGTTGGGATGTTGTGTAAAATGTAAATAAAAAATTACTTAAAACTATGTTTTATTCACAATGGAACACACTAAATGTATTAAATGTTGAAAAAGAATTTGTAATAAATAAATAAATAAATAAATAAATATATATTTTAGACAAAAATAAATTTTGAATGTGGAAGGACAATTGCTGGAGTTTTGGGAGGGGAGTCTTGTTTCTTTTTAGTAATTTTATTTATTTATTTTAAATGTGTTGCTGCCTTAAAATTCAAAACTAACTTTAACTTTTTCCAAAAATCGATGCAATATTTCTTAGTTTCAGGAATAAACATGTCTGCTATGTTCCACTGTGAATAAAATATGGGTTTTTGAGATGTGCATATTATTCCATTTTGTTTTTATTAACTTTTTTTTATGTCCCAACTTTTTCACGATTGGGGCTTGTATTACAAGTTCTGTTTTATATTCAGATACAGCAGTACAGCAGTCCCTCGTTTATCCCGGGGTTTGCGACAACGCCCCCCCCCCCCCCACACACACACACACACACACAAGTGGAAAAACTACAAAGTAGGGATACAGTATATCAAGTTCAATTAAACTTGTCATTACCATTGCATGTGGTACATGAGTTGGAACGAAATTATGTACACAAGTAGTAGTAGTAGTACTAGTAGTTTATTTTAGTATTTACTTTGGTAGTAAGTAGTAGTTTATTTTAGTATTTCCTGTTGTAGTAAGTAGTAGTTTATTTTAGTATT